AGATCTCATGACATCATGATTCCCTTTTACGAACTCCCCTCAGTTTCATGAGTGCCGATGCATACACACCTGCCATGTTTTTAGGCTGATCTAGGGGTCTGAACATGCTGTTAGCCGTGTTGATTGATCAGGAAAGTCATCTTTTTCCTTTTTAAAAAAAGTATATATATTCCATGAAAGAGAGAGTTGAGGAACCATCAGCTGGCACAATGGCTATGTCGCTGGACTCCCTCCCACATAGTTGACCGTGGTTCGAGTCCTGTACTTGGTGGCTTAAACTCTCGCCGGGTGCGTGTGCGTGTGTGCCCAAGATCCTGAGAGGAGAATGGAGAAGGGATTGTCACATGGCCATCCTCCCTGGTGGGTGATTTCTCACTTTCTGTCTCTCTGTCACTCTCTGTCTTTCTGGTGAACACATGCACCCTATAGCAAAACATCAAACAAACAAAACAAAACAAAAAAACCTCTCAAAAAAAGAGAAGAAAGGCAGAGTTAAGAGTGAAACAGAAAAAACAGAGGCAGACACCTCAAATAGTGTCTTTGTTGTGATCTACCCCTTGTCTCACCTAGCCTCACTCACAGGCACACATGCATGTGCACTGTGTAGAGGGAGGTGGTGGGATGTGAACTGGGAACCCTCGTTTATGGATCCAGCTGTGCTACTACTACGTTACGCTATCACAACTGGCTCAGGGAGTCATCTTTCCTTTTCTCTCCTAGATCACGTCTCCCTGTTCAGTAATTTCATGGAGCTATAAATATTTTCTTTGTAGTTATACCGTTCTACAATCCTCAGGGTTTATAATCATGCATTTACTTGCACAATTATCTAATTAATATCTGCCTCTCTCACTATATTCTAATTTCCTAGGAGTATTTTTAATTATCTGCATATCTACAGCGATTAGCACAGTACATAGCAGGTTGTGGGAACTCTATCCTTTCAATGAATGAAACCAGAAAGCTCAGGAGAAGCTGTTATTTACTTGTTTCTAATTCTATTGTTCCTATCTGCACTGTTTTCATAGAGGATTTTTTAAAATTCTTATTTCTTTGAGCATAAGTTAAAGAGTCAGGCTGAGTTTTAGTATTTCTAACAATGCTTTATTTCTGTGAGACAGAGAAATATCCCACCTAACAGGGCCTTGATGCCACAACCCTCCCCCAAGCCTTAGCCAGCCCAGATCAAAGGGATGTGAAAATTCAGCATATTCAGGGAGATCTCCAGAAACCAACAGGCAACCTTTCCATGTGGGTCTTACCACTGCATCACTCTGACTCCAGCATTTCTAATACGATTTTAAATAAGTTCATGCCTTCTAAACATCTATCTCTGGTTTTTCACTTCATCTTCTGCATATTTCTTTTTAAAATTCAGCTTGTTACTGGGACCAGCAGTTAGCGTAATGGCTATGTTGCTGGACTCCCACGTAGTCAATCGCGGTTCGAGTCCCGGACCCGGTGGCTTAAAACTCACACCGGGCACGTGTGCGTGTGTGCCCAAGATCCTGAGAGGAGAATGGAGGAGAAGGGATTGCGGTGTGGCCATCCCCCCTGGGGGGTGATTTCTCGCTTTCTGTCTCTCTGTCTCTCTCTGTCTGTCTGGCAAGCGCATGCGCCCTATAGCAAAAACCTCTCCAAAAAAAGAAAAAAACAAATTCAGCTTGTTACATCCAGTGGGCCTTCTGGTTCTCATTTTTATCAGCATGTCATAAAGATTATAACAATTTCTCAGTTTTAACTAGAAAATACTTTTAGTAATCATTGAAAAATTATTGTCCATATCTTATTGGTCTGATGCAAGGATGTTTGCTTACTAGCATTGTTGTACACTCTGGTTATTTTGTGCAGCATAACATAAGGATTGCAGGGTAAAATAGAAAGTAATTGCTATGCACGAGAACACTGTTCTGAAGAGGCCTTTTGAAAAATCTCAAACTGATATAATTTAGCCTTAAATCCAACAAATTAATGAAAGAGGATCAGATTATTTCATGAAACTATTTCTTCAGCTCCTGAATAATACGGTGCCAGGGTGGAAATATCACCTCAGATAAGTTTTTACATCGATTTACACAATGTAATTCTTTGTGTAATAAATTAGCTTAAACTTCAAATCTGAAGTTTGGTATGTTTGCAAAAATGGTAACTCTGTTACTTTGCCTAACTGTGCTATTTAGAAGAGTTTACGTTTTATTTTGAAAACATTTTAGAAAAGCTAAAAAACAGTCAAGATTTTAATGTACAATACTGCATAGAAAAGTTGACACTAATATGCAAACTATCTAACAGATTAGAAGAGAAATTTATTTTTGTATTAATCTACTTTGCTTGAAATACACAGATTATTTTTAATAGATGAAGAACATTAAAGTAATTAACACATGATCTGGTAAACTTTAAAAGCTAAAATAATGAGGTTAATACTAATCTAAAAGTATTGACCTCATTTTAAATCCACAAACAGAATTCTCTCAATAAACTTTTTCAAAACCTGTACTGTATCTTCATGGTGACCTTCAACGATGATAATGTATGAGAATACTCCCTTATTTCATGAAGAGTAAAAATAGAAATTCATTCAACAATATTGCCTCACCATCTAGAGTTCAAGAAGCTAAAAAATCACTGAGATAATTGTATTCTTAGATAAATGAATGAATAGTCTCATTATCAAAGAGCTTATCTTTAAAGAACTAAATATAATAAAAGGTAAATTAAATCATTGATGCAGTCAAGTTAAAAGGACATCATATTAAAAATTATTTAATTCTTACCAGGAGACTTGCAGGAAAACTCCTGGGGGATTTCACATTTATTGAAGCACTGAAGGATCAACAGTATAGTATAATAAATGCATAGTTTTCCCAAGATTAAAAAAAAAATTATAATGATAAAAATAAAAACTAAGATTTATTGACTACACATTGTGTGTTTAATTTCTATTATTTAAAAAAATATATTTCTTCTATGCACAACAGACTCAGAAGGAGACAGCACCCCCAACAAGGCCTTGACTTGTGATCCACCCTCAGCCTCCAACCAGCCCTGGATCATGGGCAAGCGGGTGGCTGGCGTATTCAAAGAGGCTTCCAGACTTGAATTGGGAACCTTTCCACATGAGATTGCCTCTCAGAAAATTACAATTTACTTTTATGCTGGCATCAGGCCCTCTGTTTTTTAGCTTTCCCTAATTTATGAGAGAGAGATGCAAACAAAGAGAGCAGAAGAGAGACACCTCTGAGTCTTCACCCCAGAATCAGCCTCAGCCAGCCAGGATTAGAGGCACTCGTGTGCATTTGACGCGTACAGGGAGACTCCCAGGCACAAACCCAGGATCTTCTCACATGGCTTTACCATCAGGGAGAGTGATGTTCTTTTAAGTACATTACCTAATGTCTCAATTCTTAGAAAAATCCCTATGAGGTATTATTTGCCTCATTTTACAGGTGAGGTCATTGAAGCTTAGAAAGTTAAATAACTGACCCAAGGCCACGCCTTGTGTAGATTGGTAAACAATACAAACAAAACTGTGGAACTTAAGTGCTTTTACAAGGGGGGGGGGGGCTTGTTTCTTTTAAGCAATGAAAATTCATAGAAGAATTTAATTTAGCGGGAAAAGAAATAAGAATGCATTAAAAAGGAACAGAAAAGGACACATTGAGGAGATTCCAGTTGGAGGTATTGATTGCAGTAACAGGAAACAGATGACAGAGATATAAACCAGGGACAAATGCAAGAAAACTTACATGGACAGAATTGATAGGGCTTCCCTTTTGCAAGAGGACAGTGAAGAGCTGAAGACAAATATGGGTAAAGTCACTTTATTCAAGGAGGTGGTGTTGCATCTTTTGAAAGAAATTATTCCCACACAATGTACTTGAGGTTTTAATATTTTAATATAAATAATTTGTACTAAATCATTGCTTTTCTAACCTGTTACTTTAAACCACTTAACTCCTTGCCAGTACTGACTGAATGAACACAAACGCTGGTTTCTTGGTAACTGTTCTCTAGTTGCTGTTACGGGAGCCCCTCTTCTCCTTATTTTGTATTACCCAGTTCTCTTGCTGTCCCCAATCCCTGTATGTAACTGATCTCCCTTTTAACTGCTCCTAAATTCCTAAAAATACTATTTTCTAAAAATACTTGAAATATTTATCCTTGTCAATTCTTTCATAGGCATTTTATACCTTTGGGATTCTTTCCTGTTACGTTATCAATTTATCTCCTTAAAAAAAATTCTCGTTTGCTGCAATGCTTCTAAATATATGATTGTCTGCTTTCTCTTTCACATACAAATACTTAAATATTTAGGTTGAATGATTAGACTTTACTGACTAACATAGTTATACTCACGTAAAGAAAGGAAAATCAGGGCTGCAGTGGCACGGCAGTAACACAACAATCTGTAGCATTGCGCCCACATGAGAAGAGCCCAGGTCCACATCCTGAGGTCTCTCTCTGCATGTGGGTACATATATGCCTATGAGCTGGGCGGCAAGGCCCTGTTGGGGTACCTTTTTCTCTTTCTCACATAGAATAAATAAATAAACTGAAAAAATAAAACTAATTTAAAAGACTTGCAATAATTTTGTTCATTTATTTTAGTTTAGTTTGCTTTTTTTTTTAGAGATTTTTGCTATAGGGTGTGTGTGCTCACCAGAGAGAGAGAGAGAGAGAGAGAGAGAAAGCAAGAAAGTAAGAAATCACTGCCCCTCAGGAGGGATGGCTATGCTGCAATTTCTTCTCCTCCATTATCCTCTCTGGATTTTGGGCATGCAAGCACACATGCTCAGTGAGAGCTTCAAGTCACTGGGTCCAGCAATCGGTGGCAATCAACTAGGTGGGAATCCAGCAACCTAACCATTGTGCCATCTGCTAGACCCTTGTTCATTTATCTTACAATGATTTCTAAATCAAATTACCATGCAAATAAAATAGAAAGTAATACTTAAAACATGATTGATTTTAATATATTTATAGGAAAAGAGCAAATTCATTAGCAGAAAAAAATGACCCAAAGTAACATTTTACACATTTTTTGTCTCAAAGCACAATACATTTTCATAGAAAGAAACATATCGCCATGATAGGCACCATAATAAGGCAACATTTACACACAAGGTCATTACCATTAAGAAAACCAGTGGTAATGGTGATAGATACCTTAGCTCATCTTTGTTAAATCTGTTGCTATTATACTTCCTGGCCTGCAGGAGTATTTGCCAGGATACAGAAGAAAATGTGTGAACTTAATTTTAAAGATACAGGGAAAACTCTGGCTGGGCATGCTCAGCCCTGTATTACCATGTGATCTCTAGGAATGTTTCACACCACTCCTCCAACTTTATTCCATTTACTATTAAAACCTTTTTCCAGGACTCAAACATCTTAGAAGATTCATTTGAATAGAAAAGGGTTATTTTATACAAAATAAGAAGTGCAATATCAGGACTTAATATTCTATTAGACTAAACCAAAGAGGAAAACTGTACAGGTATTAGGTAGGAGATAATTGAGATTATTCGGAGTAGGCAACGGCATGGCATCGGACTGAGAAAAATGCAAGAGAGTTCCTTTCAGTTTACTTCTTTTTAAATGCACCAGATGATTTTCTCAGGGCCATTCACATTCAATGTTTAGATTCATCTTATTAGTGGCATATACAAAAGCACCATATAAAATATGAAATGTAGAACAATCATGATTATGTAATTAACTATAGAAATAACTGCTAAAAAAATATAGCAATATTTAACACAGGATTTCTAAGACCATTACATATTCATTACTTTTCCCAAAGCTAATGTCCCATGTTTTACTTTATAGACTTTGTCAAGATTTGTACGCATTCGGTACTTTTTTGGGGCTAAAAATACTTGATATCTTCTGTACATTAATGTTACAGTTTTTTACAAACTTTAGGAATGTGACATTTGGAAGAGTCTTTATGTTCCTCTCCTGTGTTCCATTTCACACAACAGCAAACACTCTGAATGCCTTTCCTCCTGGAGGATTCTGTACACTGCAAAAAAAAAAAAAAAAAAGTTGAAAAAAAACGTTGATGTCATCTTTACATATAAGCCTTCTAATAAATCAGTCTGTCTTATGATAGTGAAGAAAGCAACTCTAGGACTCCAGACGGTCAATTTTCTTAGGCTACTATAATTTATAGGTTTGGAAATTTTGAGTGAGGATGACCTAAGTCTTTAAGCCTTGGTTGTGTGATGGATTGCAAATTTACCAAAGAAATTTAAGATTACATAATGGCAGTAATGGTCATCTCAATAGAACTTCACAGATTCTAGATTATATTTTCATATGTTATCTGCTTTGAGTCTAAGAGTAGATGTAGGCAGCTTTACTCCATTTCACTGGAGGCATACTAAAAGTCAGGTGTACAATCGAATCTCATGGTTAAAAATGAACAAGTTAAAAAAGTAGTTGCTACTTAAGCAATACACTAAAACACTAGTTTATTATCATCTCCTAAGTCTGATAAAAATTTAAATTATATTGTTTTCATATAGATTAGTACTCTTAGCAACTATAGTTTCAAGAGAAAATGTTAGTTGGAAAATTGAATGGTCAGATTTAAAATGATTTGAGAGATTTCTTCTCCGAAATGGAAACACACACGTGTGCACACACACACACACACACACACACACACAGAGCACGCAATCTCTTTTTGGAGATGCTTTTAAAAGAGAAGTTAAGGAATCATAAATCTCACTCTTTATTACATCATTTATATTTTTTGGCAAATTCAATCGAGATATGTTTTGTGTAAATGTCTAGAAGCTAAAATAGATTAGAAATTAATACAGTGAAAGAGGAAAGAGACAAACTGTAGTTCCTTTATATATATATTCCTGTATAACAAAAGAGAAAAGAATTTTAGAGGGAAGAAAGGATGAAAATATCCTAAGTGTGCAAACACAATGCACACATAACACACAAATGTACACATACACACACACACAAATATGAGCATGCTGGTTTTTCTTACAAATGGATGACCAATCTAAAGCCATTTTTATGTTCAGAAAACAGACTGACTAAGCCCCCTGTGATGTAGATTAGTGTGGTGTTTTTGCACACAGTGAAATACTGTAAAGACGCATATCTCTGAGCCCACAGACCTTGTGCTGAGTCTGAGCTCTGAGATTTATAAATCATATTGCATTGGTTATATCCTTTAACATCTTGAGCCTACTTTGTGTGTGCGTTTGTGTGTGTGTGTATGTGTAGGGTTTATAGACATGTTACAATAGGGCTATTAGTGGAGCTGGGCTAATATTCTTAAAGCTCCCAGTATCATCCAGCTCCTGGAATATTCCTAGTAGGTATTCAAATTCTGTTTTGTTAGGATAGCATCTATCATTTTATACTTATAAAATAAATTTAAGAAATATAGGAGGTCAGTGAAGCCATCTCACTAAGTTCAGCTTAGGAAATTGCATATTGGCTTCTTTAACTCAACTCATCTGATATTAATATATCTACTTAAGGAGGCCTTGGGCCAGGTTGCAGAGAAGTCACCTTCTCAACAATGGTCTCTTAACCCAGTCTCATCTGAAATAGATGCTAAAAACAGAACTGTCTATGTGGATGACATCCAGATGGTTCTGTATCACAGAAGGCAATCTGGATACTCTGCCTGGCACACCCTGTGGCATCCTTCTGAGAAACTACCATATATGTGAACCTCCATTGGTGATTTGAAGAAGCCAGGAAATATATAAAAGTTAGGGGTTTTTCTGTGTCCATATGGATCAATGGAAATTAGGGTTACTTAAATAAATACCAATGATTTTTAAAAAGCATCATAGGTTCATTTTTTCCTAATGTTTATAATGTTTACCTGATAACTGAGTCATATGAATCTGCTTCAAACTACCAAAAATATACAACACTAGTGAGCTGTACAGTATGATATGCCCTGAAAGAGCTCATTTATATCATACCAGGCATCCAAACTTCAATCAAAAAGAGAATTTGGTTCTAGGGAACATCAGACTCATTGTTTTTGGTCGAATACTTTGTCAGATAACTGGATTAGAGAAATATTCAGTGCCTTGCTCACCTAGAAAGAATTGCATACAAAAGCTAATCTAGAAAATCCAAAAGAGGATGAAAAGAAATTTCCTAATTATAAGATCAATTAACAAAAGAGTAGTTCTGACGCGTAATCCGATTTTCGTGTTGATTTTTGTAAGCCTGCAGGAGACAGGCACCTCTGGTACTGCAGCGTCTCCCATCCCTGGAAGACCGGCTGTTACACAGGGTGCAAGAGAATCACAAAGGCTCAGCTGCTTAACCTCGAACCCACGCTGAAGGGGGTCTGCTGTAAAGCAACCACAAATTAAGAGACAGATGACCCACGGAAACAATTACACATAGATGTCTGTGTGAGGGTCTGTGTGTGTTTTGGGGGGATGTATATTGTTTTTACCTCTCTGAGAAGATCCCGTTCTGAAAAGAAGCAACGTAAGTCTTTCTTTTGTCCACAGGCATAACGTCAACATAACCACCGTGATTTCGAACTACCCCAGCGTGTACTGCTGCTCTGCAGATACTGGACAGCTGAGGAGGCAAAAAAAAAAAGCAACATAAAACATAACTCTGCTGTTATTAGGAACCTCCTGATGAACTTGCCCAGATTATTCTCCTACTGGACTGAAGTCGCTGACATTTGTCTATATGGATAGCCAGTGAGCAGTTATGGGATGACGTTCTGGGTAGACAAAAATGTTTCTGAAGTCACAAAGTCAAAGCCGATCATGAACAAGTCTGAAGGCAGACTATGGATGGCTGTGGTGGTTATCTCTCTACCATTTAATCTAGCAAACACTTTTGCGATCCAAACAGGAGGCTTTAATACGGACAAAGCAATCAAAAACAAACAAATCGCTTTCAGCTTTTTGAGGGCCTAGTTGTTCTTTTTTAATTTTTTTTTTTTTTTTTCATGACAGGGTCTCATGTTGCTGAAGCTGGCCCTGAACTCGAGATCCTCCTACCTCAGCCTCCTGAGTATTTGGGACAAGAGGCACAAACCACTGTGACTGGCTTTGACTTGTTATTCTAAAACTTTAGGCTTTACTAACTCACACTGGCCTCACTCTGTTAGAATGTTCACAGGTTTATGTTGAGTTTTGAACATCTACATGGCCCTTTTTCCATTCATTGGGTTGTCAGGAAAGTCATGACGCATTTTTGCATAAAAAATATAGAAAAATATTTGACCTAATATATTAAATGGGGGATTTTTCCCTATTAAGTAACATGATCAACACAGAAATATTTTGTTCAAAAGAATAACTCTGAGAAGAAAGAAATGAAGAACGATCGTAAGTTCTACCTAGATTTTCGCCTATCCTGGCTTCAATGATCTGACAAGAACGATTAGAAAAGTTCTGTGATTAGCTACATAATGTGAATCACGCAGGACTTTTAGGGAGGGAAAAATGATTATTTCAGGTATAATCCTTTCAAATTTTAAAAACTGCTGACTTTTAAAAGTCACATGTTGAGGGACGGGGCATTAAAGTAATCGCAAGCGTTTAACATGTGTCAATAGCTGAATCAACATCGCCTGAGGAAATCCCACAAAAGAAAATCTTGTACTGTTTCAGTATAAAGCAATCTCTCTCATGGTCCATAGGCTTCTCCTGGTCCCACTGCTGTTGTTCCTTTCTTATCTCTACGCACATGTGGGTAATTTAATATGCTTTTTTATGTTCACATAAGCATGTGTATCTTACGTGACCTGGCTTTATTGCTGTGCTCTGAACTCTGTGGCACCAGTCAGTATTTATTAGATCAGAAAGCCTGAATGCCAAGCTCTTTAATCCTTTTCATGCTTTTGCTATATCACAAAATGCCATACATCTAAAACCTTGTATTCTTACTCAGAAGAGACATTTTTTATTCACCATTTGAAGCCTCACACTATATTTACATTTTTATCCAATATAATTCATAACAGGTGGAATTAGATACGTCAGTACAGATTTCAGTATTTATCTTGTTCTGTTAAAAGAGTACTATCAGCATTTTTTTCTCAAGGCAACAAAAATGCTTACGTATAACATTCACTAAATCCGAGCACTTAATACGTTTTGAGACCATTGTTTTGCCTGCAACGATGCAGTCAGCAGGCATTCCTATTTGAATTCAAAGGTTAAAAGATGTTTTCATTTCCATACTTTACAAAAATTAATACACTATGAAAAGAATGTATCTATGAAAACAGTGGAATTTTAAAATAAATGCAGACGTTAACAGGGAGTATAATTAACTGTAAATAAAAGTTAAAAGCAAAAGGATGTACAAGTTCTAACTCTATAAATGGAGAGAGAGTGGGGAGGAAGGGATAGTCTTTTAAAATTACATGGAAAATGTGTGCTATCAAAAAAACTATGCACGGGGACCAGCAGTTGGCATAATGGCTATGTCGCTGGACTCCCATGTAGTCAACTGCGGTTCGAGTCCCGGACCCGGTGGCTTAGAACTCACGCCGGGTGCGTGTGCGTGCGTGCCCAAAATCCCAAGAGGAGAATGGAGGAGAAGGGATTGCAGTGTGGCCATCCCCTGTGTGGGGTGACCTTTCGCTTTCTATCTCTCTGTCTCTCTCTGTCTGGCGAGCACACACGCCCTATAGCAAAAACCTCTCCAAAAAAAAAGCTATGTATGGATTTCAAAATATTTTTGCACCAAAATACATTTGCACTTCAGTTTTTGAAGATTCTTTCAACAATTATTATTATTATTATTATTATTTTTAATTTGCTATAGGACTCATATGATCACCAGACAGAGACAAAAAAGAGAGGGAAAGTGAGAAAGCAAGCCGCCAGGTCTGAGTCCTACACGGTTGGCCATGCAGGAGTCCAACACCTCAAACACCTTGACACTCCCTAGTCCCTAAACTTTCACTTTAATTCCTTTTTTTCCATAAACTTTTTGAAGAACCTTTGCTCTGCCATGTTTCTATATCATCCTTATTTGAAGAGAGACTGTATTTTGCAGGAGTTAGGAAAATTTGCAATTAATGGTTTCATCTCTGATTCTGTACTGATAGTAATGCTTATATTTCCAACTTACTCTTCAAATGATCTACCTAATAATATACCTTATCTACCCATTTCATGAGGTAGGAAGATAAAATAAAGATTTAAGTTCTGATAAAAACTCAACTCTGGCAAAGTGCTGAAAAGCACGGAAGTATGTAGGATATTTTGAAAGACTTGCACCAGGCATGACTAAACTTCATAGCTTGGGTGCTTAAAGTGAAAACATAGAATAATTTCTTTAGAAATTATTATGTGCATCCCTACATATTTATTAATTCATTTTCTCAATTAATACTTGTGTGTGGAGTCTTTACTGAATGTCTGATGTCATACTCTATCCTAAGGCAGTAACAGCCTAACTTGTTCACAGTTGACAAACAACAGATGGATAATGAAAGAGTGATAAATGAATTCCCTGTTGCTGCCCTCAAGAAACTTACAAACTATTAACAGAGACAGGGAATCCATCAAAATACCTGACAAAATCTTCTAAGTCCTAAGGGAAAAACAAAGTTCGAGGGGCGAGAAGAATGACTTCACACTTGGATCAGGAATTGGATTAGGAATCAGCACTTTCTCCATGAGAAGGTAGTAATAATTCCAAATGTGAAGAAAGACAATGATCATGACATTAAAAAAAATATATTGTTTTGAAGAATGTATTTCAAACAGAGATAAGAACATAAGCACAAATGTAAGAACTAGCAAATTCAAGATAGCCAACAGGATGTTTAAGCTGTAGATAAGAATAATGCAGATCTACTGGAGAGAGATTTAGAATGGGAGAACAATTTCAAAAGTAAAGCTGAACTGAAAATAACTGGACCTAAGTAAACTCACCAACAGAAATAAGGTGGTAATGTGTAGAGTTCAGGCCTCTTTATCCAATCAAATTTCCATAGCATTCTATTGAATGCGTGCATCTCAATCCAATTTCCACAGTATTTTACAGAATATGTACATAAAGAAGTTTTTTTTTTAAATATCTGCCTCATAAAATTTAAGTGCTTCAGCATGCGCTCTCAGACTATCTAGATGTTTCAAGAGCTGGAATCTTCAATCTCTCAGACTAAACTGGCTATAGCTCCCCTTAGGTACAATTTTCACCAGCTCAGAGACAGACAAAGCTATTTGCTATGCCCACATGCAGCACATCTGGTCTCACCTCAGTCTTTGTAGATGCCATTCATCCCACCTAGAGTGTGCTCCTAATGTTCTTGACCAACCCACTCTTCAAACCAGAGTCAAAAAGCACTTATCTATACCGAAGCCATCACAATTAATATTCCTTGTCCAACCTCAACTAGTTTTTTTGTATGCACTTTAATGTAGTATCTTTTTTGATTCTATGCTACCTTTCCAGGCTCCTTAGGAGTGAAGATACTTTTTATATATTGGTAAGTTCTTAATTGTCCAGCTTATACTATAAAACCAAAAGGAAGATAAGGAAGATTCAAGAAAGGCAAAAATACATTTTTCTTCCCAAGAATGTCTTGAGACTATTTCATTAAGTGACTTATATATGGTGGTGGTGTAAAAAAAATATAGTCAAAATAAATAAAATAAATGACTATGCATTCATATTTTCATAGATATTATTTTTTCAGTGATATTGATGATAAACTCTTCTAATCATAAACTCTTCTAATAATATGTATATCAATGCAGACTCTGTTCCCTTGCTCTCTATATAAATGCTTAAATGTGTGTATATACTTATATATAAATACATAAATAGTGAGAGGTGCTTTAGTGAAGATACTTACATCAGAATAAATTCGAGTTCCAATTACACGAGCATAATGTGGATTTGCTTGCATACAGTTACGAGGACAGTATACTCTGAAAAAAATGCACATGTAAATAAGCTGAGTACTTCAGTCTTTCTTATTAATAAAACGACAGACATGCATATACACAAGTAAACTCATACATTCAAAATCTTACTAGAGTTTTTGCAGGCCCTTGCCTGCAAACTTTGGATGAAAATGCTGACATATTTTAATGATACCTACTTTAACATCTTGAGCATTTGACAGATTTTAAAGACCTAATCATTTATAGACTTATATAAAGCAGGATAAATTTCCAATAAAACATATATACACAAAATGTACACTTACAATCCCTGCAAGGTTATGGTTAAAAACACACATAGTTTATGTGAGGTTGTTCTGTCACCTATGAAACATCTCAAAGATATGACCATGGAGGTAAACCTTGTTTCTTTATTTCTTGAGCTATTTTTCTTCAATTTATTTGTTCTTGCCATTTTTCTTCAGAATAGATTAAGCTTTGCCTCCATAAATAAAATTAAATTTTACAACACATGTGGCAACTAAATGGTTCCCCCAAAGTTATAAACCATCATATAAATAATATCATTATGGGGTTGGGTTGGTGGCATAGTGGTAGAAGACTCTCTGTGAGCCAGACCCACAGGAGATGCTCATGGTTCAGTCCCCGAGCATGCAGGGCATATGTGTGCCATGAATCAGAGGTGGGTGGAGCTTACAGGGGACTGCAGGGTCAAGACCTTGTTGAGAGTGCTGTCTCTGTCTCTCTCTCTTGGTCATGGAAAAAATAGATAAATAAATCATTAAACTTAATAAATAAATAAGTAGTATCTTTATAACCTAATTGATGAAACATAAAATTTCTATATGAGAATAAACAAGAGAACCTTGGTTCAACAATTAATTAAAATAATTAATGAAAAGAAGAGGGGAGGGACCAGCAATTGGCGTAATGGCTAACTTGCTGGACTTCCATGTAGTTGACCATGGTTCAAGTCCTGGACCCAGTGGCTTAAACTCACACCAGGCACGTGTACGTGCATGCCCAAGATCCCGAGAGGAGAATGGAGGAGAAGGGACTGTGGCATGGCCATCTCCCCAGGGGGTGATTTCTCACTTTCTGTCTCTCTGTCTCTCTCTGTCTTTCTGGCAAGCACATGTACCCTACAGCAAAAAAAAAAAAAAAAAAAATACTCTCAAAAAAAAAAAAAGGAATAGGAGGATCAGGAGCTAGATTACTTAGGGTCAAAATTATGCATAACTGATTAATTCCATGGTATTCCTATACTGTTAACAGTAAAAGCTAAAGTCAAATTTTAAAAAATTATATCATATTCCCTTTCGGAATGTTTCCCTTCGTGGAACAAGGCAAGAAACAGGAAGCTTTTTTACTAATATTTTATTCAAATGATTTTTCTCCTTTGGAAAAGTACTGAAACATCATTCTATAGATACAAAATGACCATTCATTGGGCACCTCTTGATACTAGTGGGAGGAATTTGGAGAAAGCACTTGAAGAGGGCCTGGAGTGCAGGGAGTTTGTGATGTTCCTTGCTTTCTTCCGCATAGAAGTGCAAGACCAAACTCCCTTTGAATCCTAGAGAAACCAGAATTTTGAGAACCAAAGTTTTCACAGGTTGAAAGCCATAAACATGCTTGCTGGTTAAAAAAAGAAGAAAATTTTAAAATGTAGTAAGCATTACCTTGGGCAATGTGAAGCAGGCTTATGAAACGGACAGAGCTGTTCCACAGTTGTTTCACAAGTCACAGCCTGAACTAAAAAGTTAAAACACAAAACAGTAAGCAAATCTTTTGGAAGCAATGTCATGCTTTGTAGTAATAAGAAGATAAGATGGAAAAAAGTGCTGACCTGTTACTTTAGAGACTGTGAAGGAATTAGCAGAGTGATATTTGCTGAAAAGAAAAAGATAGAAATGTTATTCATTTTCTTAGAGGCTTCAGTATAATTCCTGGTATATTTTAAGTCTATGAATACTTTATTTCTTACATATTCTTATTAAAATAGTTAAATAAGTAGTGTTACAGAAATACATCATCTATTTGATGCTAAATTCAAGTTACCTTCATGCATGAAATAAATCAATGCTATTCCTAAGCTTAGATAGTGGTCTCTTTCCATTATTGGTCTCAAAATGTAGAAATAACAGAATAAAACAATATATATATTGACATATTTGTTTCTATTAAAATTAAAACTCTAAAGTAATAATTCCCTGTCTCCACAAAATCCAGTAAATTCATGGCAGTGTTGTAAAGACAACATAAATTAACAAGAATCTTATAAAGAGTGTGCATTATTTACTTTTATGATTCCCTAATAGCTAGTAAAATGCTTACAATAAATGAGTGAATTTCTCTGTATTACTTGCTATGTTAAAAACCAAGAGTAAAATATTATATATCAAAATTTTAATTGTTTAAGTATACTAGTCTTTTTGAAAAGCATCTTTTGTTAGTGGTAAGGCTCATTGGTGATGGTACTTTAAGAAGGTACACCAACCGAATACATCAACTCAGAACTGATGGTGTAATATTCCAGCAATCCTTTATTCTGTCAGTTCCAAATCTAATGTTAAATATTTAATATCATCTATAATGTGCCCAAAAGAAATATAGTTCTTTGAGGCACAAAATATTCAACCCATTAAGTGTATTTTTCAAGTTTCAAGTTTTAAGAGACACAATAAAAAAGTAAGTTAAGGGCCAGCAGGTGGCATGTAGTTAGGAATCTAGATCCCACATGGGATGATTCTATGGTTCAAGTCCATGACCCAGTGGCCTGAAAACCATGATTAGTGAGTATGTATGTATGTGGACCAAAAATCCTTAGAGAAGACTTGGGCAGAAGGGATTGTGGAATGGCCATCTCTCTTGGGGGGTGATTCTCACTTTCTCTTTCTCTGTCACTCTCCAGCAAGTACACATGCCTTATGGCAAAAAGCTAAAGAAGAAAAAAGAAAATGAAAAGAAATTGAGTTAAAGAAAATAGTAGGATAAATGTTTTTAATGTAGCTAATGACTAATATTTATTACTCATTGATAGTAATTAGTCAATGTTTGTAGAATGAGTAAGGTAATCAGTAAGTATTTCAACTAAGGGATTTTTTAGAGAGTTATTACTGATGGCTGAAAGGTACATATCAAACCTTGGAACAAAACCATACATAGGAGGTCATTTCACATGTCTGTGAAAGTTTTTATTAATATTTTTTATTATGAAGTTAAACTTCACTTTACTGTGGAGGTTCATGCAATTATATAATTACAAAAGAGACTATATCATATTATCTAAGAAAAGTCATAGGATACAATAAAGTCTTTTTATTTAAAAGAAGGCACAGCAAAGATATTTCAAAAGCCCATATTTTTCTATTTTCTATAGAGTACATATATAATTACACAAGGTTTAAGAGTAAGGTACTTAGTATATTTTATATGAAAAACATCTAAAACGTTAATTAATGCTTTTATGTTGAGTTAAATTACATTTAAATGGACAACTGGAAAATGACATTGTATATTATATATTCATTGAGTTTTTCAAAATGCTCTCTTACCTAATAACCTAATTTATCTTATTAACAAAGTTACTGTTGCATGAAATAAGCCATTTCCCCTAAATGGAGCAGGGAGAATATGTACATTAATTAGCCTTCTCTGGGATATTTTTTGTCATATTTAAAAATTAATTGCTTCAAATTGGAAATTTATATATTCTTAATGACACTCATGAAAGTTTGGAGTTTTATCATGCCCAAGCTAAAAAGGTTCAACTGTGAATTTGATGTTTTTTTCTTCTTTTATCTATGAAAATTATGTGACTGAAATGAATCTTAAAAATGATCAACTTCTCTCTTTATAAATTAAAATTCTCTCATGCTTTCTTCCAAAAGAATGTATCAGCCCATTTTTACAATTTAAAATCATCTGGCCTTGGGACTAGCAGTTGGTGTAATGGCTATGTCACTGAACTCCCACGTAGTTAACTGCAGTTCACGTTCTGGACCCAGTGGTTTAACTCATGATGGGCGCGTGTGCGTGCGTGCCCAAGATCCTAAGAGGAGAATGGAGGAGAAGGGATTGCGGCGTGGCCATCCCCTCTGGAGGTGATTTCTCACTTTCTGTCTCTCTGTCTTTCTCTGTCTCTCTGGCGAGCTCACACACCCTATAGCAAAAACCTCTCAAAAAAATCATCTGGTCTAAAAGATCATTCAGGTACTTACCCAATGGTTTGAATACCATTTCGATTGGATTTGATGAAATAATGCTTTCTTCCTTGTCTAGTAATGTCAACCCAACCACCTTCATTGTCGATGATCCCATAATGGATTGCAGCTCTACAGATACTAGATTGCTTGGAGAAAAGAAGAGAAAAGGATGCTGTAATATTAGAGTTCTGCATAAGACACACCACTTATTACTTATACGACTTTAAACATTTCTGAGCCAAACATTTAGTTTGCTTATATAAGTTATTTTTCACATTAAAAATCCAATATTGGGCCAGTAGGTGGCATGAAGTTTAAGGTGGATGGATCCCACATGGCTGACTCAGAGGTTTGAGTCCAAGACGTAGGGGCTTGAAAAACATGCTGGAGGGCCAGCAGATGTGTAGCAGCTATGTCAATGGACTCCTACAGGGTTGACTGCAGTTCAAGTTTCAGGCCCAGTAGCTTGAAAAGCACCTTGGGCACGTGAGCATGAGTGCTCAAGATCCTGGGAAGAAAACGGAGGAGAAGAGACTGTGGCATGGCCATCCCCCAGCGGGTATTATATATATATAATCACCAATATTATGCAGAAGAACTCTACCCCCAAATAATTTCATTTATAATACTTACCATTTCATAATGTACACTGCCAATAACTTTAGCTTTACTATCCAAACAACCAGCAGGGCACTCATACCTAAATAAAAACAATCAAGAGCGAAATTTAGTTTCTCTGCATGTCAATATAAAATGAAAATATTTCCACTAGTGGGTTGGTTAATTTTGAGAACAATAAATATTACCTATTGCAGGTTGTTCCTTTGCACTGATCTCTTAATCTGACTTCACAAGAAACAATTTGGGCTGAGAAAAAAAAGATAGCAAAACAATTTAGATAACGTACAAGTTGCTACAAGTCATTGTACATGCGCTAATGATACTTTTTTTTATTATTCACAAAGTGTCCAAATTAATAAAACCTAGATGAATATGTCATTTATGAAGTTTGAAATCTTAATTAATGCAGAGCTCTTACACATTTGCTGTGTACTTATGACTTCGTTTCTGTTACTATCGTCTGATCTTGTCCGTACGTGGGTATCGTGGACTTGTGATTGCTGTCGTTCAATTTCATTTGTTTCTTCTTCTCGAGGAGGATAATACCTGTCTGATCCTTCTGTGAGAGAAAACAGATTTAAGAAATATGAACCCTATTTTATATGTGCACAACTTATCCCATAATTCTACACACCTCTATATGCCTATTTTAACATTTAAAACTAGATAGATCAGTAGCGTTTTTTGGCACACTGGATTAAAGGAACTACACACACACAGTCCTTGTTTCGAGAATGGCTAATATTCAATGGAGGCATTTCTAACTTTAGCTTATATTTCAACATGTTATCAATGTTTGGTTTTTGTAGTGGCACCATGAAAGTTACACAGCAGTCTACTAAAATCAGGGCTGTGTGAATTTGAATGTGTTTCCCAGATGAAATTATATTCTTAATGTTTTTAGGAGGATGATATTTAGAATTTTCCCAAATGGAAATTCGACCTCAAGAAGGAGTGACATGTTCTTTTACTACAATATCTATTTTCATGGAAGAATTTTTCTCTTTAGAAAAAAATTGAATATGCAGAAATATCAACTTCGTAATAGAAAATAATTTCAAACTGAAATTTAATTTATTTTTTCCAGATTAGGCTATAACAAGGGCTTGATAGCGT